CACACACGCAAAAGAACACAATGACAGTGGTATCACAAACTGAGGAAAGCAAGAATATACCTCTCTGCTAGGTACGCAATCAACTTGTCCATAACAAAGGACTTGGCTGCTATCAACGACATGGCGGCAGATTTCCTCCAAGTCTTAAGGCGTGTCAGAGAGGTTCCACATGTCAATGACTAGCTACATGGGAAGATCCTTGCACACTTACCCCAAGTATGCACACTTTCTCTGTGGTCTCCAGTATTTATATAACACCCAGCCTGTGTAATATGTTAGCCCATGTAACTTCTGGTAGTTTCAACCATGGCAGCTTTTCCACCATCACCCGATTCTCGTTTTTACCATGTCTCCTTTTCCTTTTCCTTTTCTTTTTCCCTTCCAACTTATTTTCTCGGGAAAGTGAGGAAGAATTTGGATATGAGCGCGAAAAAAATTGACATTCTGGCCAAACTTGTTACACATTTGGCAAGGAAAAAAATAAATTCCATAAATTGCAAGAGTTTAAACAAAAGAAATTAACCTAATTTAAAATGAAATGCCAAAAGTTTAAAATTTAAAACCATTGCTACAATGGAAGAAGGAGCTCCGGCCAAGCTTTACAAATCTGGCCGAAAAAAGTTATCCCGGAAATGTTTGAGTCTTAAACAAGAAAAAAATTTATTGAACTTTAAGAAAATTCAACGTGCATAGAAATTATATGTGTTTGGCGTGTGGAAAGCACCACTCGCTAAATTTCGGCGCAAGGTAATATAGATGCCAAAAAGAGAAATTCAGAAAGGTGATACAAACACATCATAGTTTAGGCGTGCAAGTTGCACACCAAATCAATTTTAGGGAGATTTTTATGCATTATCCCTAACTTGGAGTTGGACATGATATTAAAGTTTACACCAAAAAAAAAAGGAAAGAAAGACAATTCATGTATTTCATGTGTGGTGTTATACACCAATATTTGACCCGATGGTCTCCCGAAAACAGCCTCTCTATCCCTCCGGGATAGGGGTAAGGTCTGCGTACACTCTATCCTCCCCAAACCCCACTAGTGGGATTCTACTGGGTGGTTGTTATTGTTGTTGTGTTATACACCATTCGCTAAGTAATGCACAACCAAGTTACTGGAACTCTTATGTACTGGAACCTACTGGAAAAGAATTTTCTCAAGCTAGTGAAACTTTACTGAACGAAGTTAATACTACAACATTTAAAAGGAAAAACTTGAAGAAAGAAAAGGAAGGAGAAGAATATCTCAAATAAGCTCGAGTAATCTTTCTTCATTTTAAAATATACAGATTTCAATATCGAATATAGAAGAATAACCAGAGTAAAAATGTCGGTCATTCTATTCCAGAGGTCTATTTTGGAAAACAATATATTTCAGAGGTCTATCACACAACAACAATTTAGAAAGAGAAGAAGTCTTAGAAGTCCTTTAACTTCGAAGTAAAAATCCTGCAAAATTCAAGATTTACTTAAAATCAATTTTTTGTTTTCAAGATCTTAAAGCCTCACCTCATGCTCTCTTCAGAAATAAAAAAAAAGTCCAGAGGTTCAAAGAGAAGACCTGGAAATTGTACACCCAAGCGGATTTCTTTTTGCTTGTTCTCAATATGTTCTTTGTTTTCGGCCATCCATTCAAGGAGAAGTTCCACTTGACAAACGATATGCCGTTTTTAGACATCTAACAGAACCAAATGCAACGGAAGAGACTAACTGTAAATATGAGGTATCAACCAACAAATTATCATCAAACTTTTACAAAGAAGTTCACTAAAAGATATAAGTCAGATTCAACCATGATTACGAAGAAACAAGTAATGCCAATAATTTGATTGGAAGTTGAAAAGCATAATTAGGTTAATTTGAGTCACACTGAACCAGCAGCCAAGCTTACCACTATCTCAAAAGACATTAAGAAAAGAAGAAGATATTACTCTGAACAAGCACAACAGAAGTAGCTTTTATACACAAGCTCAAGAAAAGTAGATACAAGATACATAGCTTAGGGCGTTCCAAGACCCTTTGAGGTATGAACAAAAGAAGGGCAAAACCACAAAAGATTGTCTAGAGGTCGTAGACGTCACCTCAAATGCAAAAGGAAGAGGATTGCTTTGGTCATTCTAATTACAATCAGCTGCAAACTATGAACAAATCTAAACACTTCACCTGTCACCGTTGCAAAAAAATGCCATATCACCCAAAAGCAACCAAAAAACTGCAAAAATGCAACCACCATTTAAGTTCTGTATCAAAGAACGATGAATAATATTTGGTTCTTACCATCAGTAATTTCTGGTTTGAATATGACCTTCATAAGGGACAACATTTCGCCAAGATACTTGCTGCTAAATGGATTTAGTCGTAGTAGTCATTAAAATCGTCATAGACCCGATGGAACTCACCATCAGAAGACGAAGATTCAGTAATTCCACATGGGCAGTCTGAATCAGGAGACAAATAATCATAAATCTCAGCATTGAATTCATAACCGTAAGTGGAATCATGAGGGTCCTTTAGATCAACAATCTGTTCTTTACATCTTCTTCCTAAATCCCCTTCAAGATCTATATTGTAACAGTGGCGTAAGTCGAGCGATTCAAGGTGTGGACAGCCATCAAGAATGGCATGCAGGCCTTCATTTGTCAAGACATTTCCAAGAAGGGAAAGGTGCCGCAGTTCAGGCATATTTCTGGCAACAGCTAGAGCTTCATCATTTCATTCATATCCTTGAAATCCATGGGCATTCAATGTAAATGACTTAAGCCGGGGGCAAGCATGACCAATAACTTTTATAAGATCTTTATTAATGCCGGAAAAGTATATCTGCAACTCCTCCAACAGAGGGAAGTTCTTAGCAGCTGCAGCCAAACATCCATCTAAGATATAATAGCACCCGACAAGTTTGAGATGTCTAAGCTGGCTTGATCTGTTCAAAAGGGTCCCAATTTGACTACTTTAAGAGAACTTTTATTTAATGGAGGAAACAAAAAGTAATGAGAAATTATAAGAAGACTAAAAGGTAAACAACAGCCAAGCTCACTGAAAAGCAGACAAGTGGGTGTCGGACACACCAATAGCAGCAAATTAGTTCACACTATACATTACTCCCCTGTTCCAATTTACGTGAACATGTTGTTGGGAATATAGTAGATATGCCCTAGATCCAATATCATATTTGATGATTTGAACATATTTTTGTGAACGTTATTTGATATAAAATATATATGGCATTTGATATTCTTTTATCATTGTTATTAATTGCTTGATTAATTTGATAAGGTCCTTGATTAAATTTTGAGACTTGACATTGTGATGGAGATCATGATAATGAGAGTAAAGTTTCTTATAATTTAATCTAAATTTGTTCTTGATCGTGGGATTATTAATTTGGACATTAGTAATCCGGCTAGATCAATATTTATGTGATCGTCTTTATGAGATAAAAATTAATTGATCTCATTAACTAAATTACATAGATAGATGATGCATATAGAGATATGATCATTGAACCGACTCATTGGATAATTCCTAATGGTTAGAATTACCATAAACTGTCAATAGGATATTCTCTTNGGGATTATTAATTTGGACATTAGTAATCCGGCTAGATCAATATTTATGTGATCGTCTTTATGAGATAAAAATTAATTGATCTCATTAACTAAATTACATAGATAGATGATGCATATAGAGATATGATCATTGA